TGTATGGGTACAAATTCCCTATGATGAATATGGTCATTATGTATATCAAAAGTGTACCAAAAAACTAATTAAAAAAAAAAAAAAGATGTTTTGTATAAGAAGCTGTACAATACTAAATGCAGAGCTGCTTAAAAGTTCATGAAACCAGGCATGGTGGCATGCCTGTAATCCCAGCACTCAATTGAGACAGCAGGATCCCTGCAAATTTGAGACCAGCCTGGGGGCTACAAAAGCAAGCACTAGGCCAGCCTGAACTGCATAGGTCTACCTCAAAACAAAAACAAAAAAAACAAAACAAACAAAAACCCAACAACCAAAAAAACCTATCACTACTAATAGATTCTATCTAAAAAAAAAAGTCCCCGAGTACACAAAATTATCCTTATCATACCTCTTCAATGTAAGAAAATACAACTGCATTCATATATCCAGATAAGCCTAGTGTCAGTTCCTTAAGACAAAAATAAAAACAAAGAACTCTAGAACATCATCATTAATGTATCTGGCAACTTTTTTTCCTGTAAATATAAGATACTTGGTCAGGCGTTCATTTGTAGATACAATTTAAATACTTACCTAAAAGAAATTTCATCAGCCACCTTTTCTTGAGAATCTTCCTCTGTGATCTCATACCTGCCTTTATAGTTCATTTCTAGTCTGGCCCCAAGTCTCTCTTTGACAGGTCGTTTCCGTTTGAGATGACCTTGACCATTTTCCTCTTCTTTTGACTCTGTTTTTTTGTCACTATGCATATAATCATCTAACTCTTTGTCTAAATCTTTTGTATATTCTTCAGATTCCCTCTTAAGTTTCTTAGCAAGCAAATAATTATAGGTCTCAGATTGTCTACTTTTGTCAATATTGCCCTCCATTCCCAAAATACCCAGTTCATTGGCCACTGCATCTTGATTCTGTTCTTGTAGCACAGCACCCCATATGTTGTTAACCTTCTTTCCTCCAGCAACAGGTGGTTTCTGACTGCTCTGGCCAAACTGAAAAGGCTCAGGTTTGGGAGGCAGGTTAAGACATTTCTGTCGCTTGCGTTTCCAAAGAGAGCTATCATCATCTGAATCAGAAAAACTCTCTTCACTTGAATCCACACTTTGAACAATCCGGTAATGTGATACTGGTACATATGCTGTTGCAACAGTGTGGGAAGCCTGCACAGCACTGTCTCCACCAAGTATTTTCTATAAGTGAAAGAAAACATAGTCAATTCCATAAAACATAACCATTCTACCCACCAGGACCTACTACAACAAAAATGTTAAGATTCATCTGGAGTATTCTGAAACAGAACTGATCTCCAAAGACATCTCTGAAACCATTCCAGTTCATAGTTTTCTCAAATTTCACATTAAAGCCGTCACAAATTTTTATCTCTGCAGCTAAAACAATTCTATAAGGCATCTTACTTGCCTATTACATGAGAGCCTGTGTTTGATCCTCAGCATTGGAAGAAAACAAAAAACCAATCTTTTCAGTTATAGCCAAACTGCTATTTCTTTCCAAAAATAATGTGCATTTGGATACAGCCAATAGCTTTAGATGGCTCTGTGAATACACTTTTAGATAAGAGGCGAACTCCTAAGTATATAATCCCTGACACTTTACTTTTTAAAAAAAAATTGCAACACAGGGGATTGAATACAGGGGGCAATGAGCTACATGGTCAGCCCTTTTACTTTTGTTTTGAGGTAGGGTGTAAGTTACCCAAGATGGCCTCAAACTTGCCATCCTCTTCCCTTATTCTAGTGATGATTTTTTCTTTGCAGTACTGGGAATTGAACCTGGGATCTTCTGTATACAAGGCAAGTGAACCAGGCACCAGCCTGACATACTCCTTATATGTGGCATAGACTGAACTTAGGGCCTTCACACTGAATTACAGTCCCAGTCCTTTTTATTAGTTTTACTTAGAGAGAGGGTCTAAATTGCTGAACTGCTGAGGCTGGCCTTAAACTTGCAATCTTCCTGCATCAGCTATAGAAGGTGCTGGATTAGAAGTGAGCATCACCAACCCAGCTTCTGATTTACTGCTCCCTCTTCCTCCTACTTACTACTTTTAGAACTGAAGATTTCACTGTGGTAACTAAGTTATGGGTAAATTTATATAAAACAACCTGAAGGACTGAAATACTACAAAATATTCCAGAATTTATTTCCAATGACATTAATATCTACAAGAAGCCAGCTTTGCTTTAATTGCCACATAATTACAGATTCAGGGGATTCAACGTGATGTGGTGATACAGGCATTTATTGTGTGATGATAAAATCACGGTAACTAGCATATTGGTTGTTAGTTAAAAAAAGGAAAAAGAATCCAGCTCCATGGTCAAGTTTTATTGGGATTAAATCCAAGAGGGACCGCTGCTATGAGGACTAACTGGCCTTGTCTCTATGACTCAGGGATTTTTATTGTTGAGAAGGGAAGCTGAAACCAGGCTGATAGTTATCCTTCAAGCAGGTAGCTTGTGGAAGCTGACCAACAGAGAAGCAGCTTGGGACCTTGGGTAAGCTCAAACTTGAGTACGTGAACTAGGAAGGGGTGTTTTTGAATGCTGCCCTGTTCTCAGGGTGGTGATTTTGATTTTTTCATCCATCATCTTAAACAGTTCTTGGGACTGGAGAGATGGCTCAGTGGTCTAAAGCACCTATTTGGAACAAGCTTGGAAAAGCACAGGGACCGCGGTTCGATCCCCTAGCACCACATGCCAGCCAGCCGCGCCCCCTGGTGGGCTGAGCTGGCCACACACACACACACACACACACACACACAAAATGTTAAAAAAAATTTTTTTAAACAGTTCTTTGTGGTAAAATGTGTAAAATTCCTCATAGTCTGGGGAAGTAATGCATGCGTGTAATCCTAGCACTGAGACATGCTGAGGCAGGAGGATACCAAGTCTGAGTCTTTCCTGAGCAGCTCAGCAAGACTGTCTCAAAATGAAAAGGGCTAGGATGGAGTTATGGGGTATGGCTCCCCTGAATTTGAAGCCCAGTGCCAAACAAAACCAAAAAAATCTCTAACTATCTCAAATCATACATTAACTATAGTCATCCTACTGTGTAGCAGAATAACTCAATTTATTCTTCCTAACTGTAACTTTGCTCTTGACCTTTGTTTTGCATACTAAACATGAACCCAAATATTTGTTAACTATTATATGCTAGAAACAGGAGTGGAAAAGTGATTTAAGTCACAGGATCGTGTTTCTGTCTTGAATAATAAAGGCAGCTACCATTCACCAGGCATTAGCAGGAGGTTTGTTCCATTCAATCCGTTAAACCACAGTGCCAATTCTACAGACCGGGCCACCAAAACAGGCAGGCAGGTTGGTCAGCGTGTGGCCAGGCTAGGATTGGCGTAGAAGCAGCCTGGCACCAAAGCCCACTTCAAGTGGTTGCTGCTCTCCACGGAATCATACGAAATTCCCATTTAGAAAACCTGGAAGCTAAAACAAAAAACTAACTCCACGGTACAAAGCTAGGCACTGCCAGGCCCCTGAAGGACCCACGAACTTCCTTCGTAGGCCTCCGTCTCCCTATCTGCACTAAAAGAAAATTAAAACGGCAAGCTGTTCAGGCCTTTGTCTCCACGTTCTACACTTTCGCTAAGATTCGTCCTTCCAAACCAAGCGGCGCTGGCGTAGGGAAGTCGGTAGGCTCAGGACGAACAGCAGTGCGCAAGAAGCGACGCCGAGACCGCTGCACGCCGCGTCCAGGAGGCCTCAAGGCTCGCGGGGCTGCGCCTCACTGCCAGCTGCCCCCGGGCTCTTCCGCCCTCGCCCGCTGCCGCCGCCGGGCGCGTCTTCCCGCTGCGCCTTCCCCGCCGCACGTGGGCGCCTCAGGGATGGGGCTCCCCTTCCGCCGGGTCACCAGCCCTGTCACCCGCCCGCCCATCTCGCTCACAGGCACTTGCGGTGGCCTGTCGCTAGGTGCGACCGTCATGTCGGAATCGGAGTCAGAAAGCTGCCCGTCTTCCATGTCACCGGCTTCCAAAGCCATCTTCCCGCTGCGTTACGCACCTGGTCACAGGAAAACTTCCGGCAGGCCGGGAGAGCACTTCCGGCGGCCGGGGCGAACACTTCCGGCGGATTGAGCGAGCACTTCCGGCCTAGGGGGCGTGCGCGTAGGGCGGGGCAGGCGCGTACTTCCGGCAGGGTGGCGGCGGGGGCCGATTTGCAGGTTAGCTGGTCGCTGAATAGGCCGGAAGTCGCTTAGGTTCGTGATGAGTGAGAACCCTGTGCCTCTAGCACGTGTACTTTTTTCAGAAGTTATGTGACCCTCGCTGTGTACGCCCGTTGCGGCCTCTGGGAGGCCTTCCTCAGCCGGCGCCCTTCATCCTAACGTTCCGCGCCGCGCTCAGCTCCCGGGCGCCTTCGTTTCCGGAGACTGGGCCTGGTTGTGATCCTCCTGTGGGCCGCACTGTGCTGCCCTCCTCCCTGTCCTCGTCTGCCCGCGCTGCTTTGCTATCCCGCAGGCAGCCACGCTTTCTTCAAGGCTGAGGCCGCTCAGCGTTCGGGCTGCAGGAGGGCTCTTTCCCTGCCCCGGCCACTGAACCCTCGCTCCCCTTCCCTGTCCCCTTCCTCCCTCCTTCCCTTTGTGTGTCTCTCGCGCGCTCTCATTCTCCTTCACTCCGTTGAACTACTGGGGACCAAGCCTTGGGCCTTTGCACAGAGCTACACCTGCAATGCTTTTTAATTTTAGCTTTAAAAGTTTTGAGGCAGGGTGTTGCAGATGGCCCCGGCTCCGCTCTATTTCACCTGTGCTGCGTCGGCAAATTTACGTAGGTCAGGCATTTCTCTTCTGGGTAGTGTGGTCTCTGTCTATACTGTATCTAAAAGTTGTACATTAAAGTTACAAATTCACAAGGCCATTTGCTGTGGTCTCACGTCAGTTCAGTTTTACACAAGAATGTCTATACACATTAACTTGGAGTGAGTCAGGGCTTCTTGGGAGGAATGAATACGTGTTACATCTGTTTTTATCTTGCCATGTTTCTAGGCCCCACTAATGGACGAGATGGTTGGGGGCTGTGTAAAAGCAAAGAAGACGCGATTGTTTATTTTTTTTTCTAGTTTCTGATTATTAGCAATAGATAGAACCTACACAAACTTGTTTTCAAACTTTTAGCTTAAAAGAAGGTAACATCTAAGTGTGCTGATAAGATCTAAGGCCTATATAAAATTCGGACTATGGGTGAAGGATTAGAAAAACCTCAAGATCTCCAAACAAACATACCTAAGAAGTATTTAGGGGCCTGCTCCTCTTGGAAGTAGGTTAACACAGCCTGCTTTATACAAGGACAGTGATATTGCAGAAAGGAAAGGATATTCCCTGAAAGACACAGCTAATCATATAAATGTAATGCAAGGCCTCTTTCGTGCTAGTCCACTTTCATGTTTGAAAACACTCTCTGAAAAGCTGTCATTTTGCAGTCATTTCTACTCACACTCTATACAACAGCCTGTGTGTCTTACCTGAATTTCTTCAAAGACAAAGAATCGACTGTTGCGAGTTCCTTGCAGCGTTAAACCTGACCATGTTAGGACCTGGCTCTCTGGCAACACCATAGTTGCCCAGTGCTTCCTGGACAAGATTATGTCAAAAGAAAAATTTTGTCACAGTTTTAACTATTTTGTCACCACAAGGATGTACCTCAACTCTTTCTGGGTTAAAACCCAATAAATAAATAATTTTAGAATTAACATTTTTAAAACCTGGTAGGATTATACTTGGGCTTTTTCTATAGCCATTGATCAAAGCAATAAGTAACAAGCAGCAAGTGACAAGGGAACCAACAAGTGACAAGCAGCAGCCCTCTTTCTGTCCCTTATATTCTACCCAGGCTATGTGTCCTTTGGACAGGCAGCACTCCCACTCATGGTGGGCCTTCCCATTATTCACATCCAGAACTATGCCAATCCAATCAGTGGACTAATTTAGTCATCAGATGCCCTTAATGCCAACATTGCACCCTAGATCCAACCACCTTTGAAAAGTGTCACTAATGATTCCAGGAGGGCCTGGGGAGACATAGGGACACAAGCCATAAGAGTAAGTTATCTTTTTTTTTTTTTAGGACAGGGTATACAAAGTGTTCAGGGTCTTATTACAGATCAGACCCGTAGTGATACTCCTGTTTACAGTCTCCCAAGAGCTGGGATTTCAGGCTTCAGCCACCACGCCCAGTGTCAATGGCTGTCTCAGTGCTCCCCGGAGATGGGGCTAGCATGGCAGGCCTGGGAATTGAACTCCCAGCCCCTGTGTCTGCCTAAGCTCTTTTTATATTCTTAATAGTATCATTTGAGAAGTATTGAGTTTTACTGTTAATAAAATCCAATTTACCAGTTTTCTCCTTTATGATTCATTTTTTTGTGTCCTAAGAATACTTTTGAGGGCTGGGGAGATAGCTCAGTGGTCTAAGGGCCTACTAGGTTGGCAAGCGCAAGGACCTGGGTTTAATCCCTAGTACTGCATGCTGTGCCAGCCCCGCCCCCAGGCAGGCATGCAGGCCACTGAAATCAGTTGTGGTGCACACCTGTAATCCCAGAACCCGGGAGACTGAAAACAGGATCACTATGAGTCGAACCTGCATAATGAGACCCTGTACCAAATAAATAAATAACTAAATGGTTTAATTTTTTTTCAAAGAATGATTTGAGTAACCTAGTGGTTCTCAGCTAGGGGCTATTTTAGTTTCTCTTCATGACAGGGTGTTAGCCATACCTGGGTTTTTCTTTGTGCCAAGCAATTGCTCATTCTACTAAGCCATCTCCCCGGCCCCTGGTTTTTCTTTGTGTAGTACTGGGATTTTAACCCAGGACCTCTGCACTGAACTATATCCTCAGCCTTTTTTTATTTTGTACTTTGAGACAGCTGCATTTTAAATTGCCCAGAGTGGGCTTGAACTTGTGATCCTCCTGCCTCAGCCTCCCAGGTTGCTGGAGTTACAGTCATGAATACCACTTAGGGATTTTTAAATTGTCACAACTTGCTGATTTCTAGAGGGTAGAGGACAGGTATACAGCTAAAAATCCTGCAATGCGTAAAACAGTCTCCCATAGAAAAATCGTTTATTGTATGCCATTCTGTATGGATTTTAGAGTTTTAGATCCTACTTTTAGATCTGTGTTATCTTAAATTAATTTTTATGTACAGTACAAAGAGTTCTTTGTTGCCCTTTTGTTTTTAATTATTTTTTAAATACAGAGGATTAAGTCCAAGCTTTTGCAATTTACTACATCTTTGATCCTTTTTTTTTTTTTTTCACATACGTGTCTGTGTATGTGTGTCTGAAACTGCGCTGCCTTCCAGTTCCTTTTTTATTCTTTTATCTTGAGACAGAGTCTTCCTCAGCAGCCCAGTTTTGGCTCTTAATTTGTGGTCTTCCTGCATCAGCCTCACAGAATTCTGGGATTATAGGTGGACACTACTGAGCCTGACCCTAGCCTTATTTATTTATTTATTTATTTATTTATTTATTTTGAGACAAGACTCTCTAAATTGCCAGGCAGGGCTCACACCTGTCATTTTCCTCCTTTAGCTTCCTCTGGAGCTAAGATTACAGGTGTTCCCCAGCACTGGCAAGATCATTCCCCTCCTCTTTCTTCTCTTCCTCTCCCTCCTCCTCCTCCTCCCCTCCCTCCCTGCCTCCTTTCTTTTGTATGTGAATATTCAATTAATATATCCCAATTTGTTGAAAAGTCTACCCTTTCCTCATTGAATTTCCTGGACACCTTCATTGTAAATTAACCATATATACGAGAACCCATATCTTTTGTCCTCTATTGTGTTCTACTGAAAAGTGTGAGTGTGCACATGTGCGCACTGGGGGTGGGAGCCAGGTCCTCAGGCACTCAGAACACACTTTAGTATAAAGATATAACTCCAGTCCCTGTTCTAGTGATCTTTTTGCCTTCCTTTACACCAGTGTGACACTTTTTTGGTTACTATAAATTTATAAAATGGTAAACTTATTACCAGAATCTTGGGCCAGAGGGGAGCCTGACTTAAGGAAACTCCCAAAACACCTAATCTGGCCACTTACACTCAAAAATGAAACAAAAATAAATTGTGGAAATTAGGAAAGGAATTTATTCAGGGATATTGATAAGTGTTTCAAGTTTAGGTAAGGAGTAGAATGGAATGGGGGCTGAGAGGCAAGAAGACTGCTTAGTTAATCAATTCTGGCCAAACTGGTCCAGTTGATCATTATCTCAGGTCTGTCTGGGGGTGGGGTAGGGTGGACCTTGTTGGCATAGGTAAGAAAATTGCTGCTGCCTGGGGGGAAGGAGGGGATGTTTACTGATCAAACCTATTGTTGATGGACTTCAAGCTGACGTAGGAGAGAATGACTCAGAGAAAAGGAATCAGAAAGGCAAGATGAAGGTAGGTCTTTCAGGGTTAAGGCAACGACTGGAGACTTCTAGGTGACTTTCTAAGAATCTGGAGTGGACAGTACAAAAGCTGGCCTGTTCCTTATGATATCGGTACAGTTTTTTTTTTTTTTTTTTTTTTTGTCTCTACAAGCATTGAGAATACCTTAATTACTTCTATCTTGGTGCCTTCTGCCTTGAAGGGGGAGGGTTACCAGCTACAGAGAGACACTCCTTAAATCATTAATATGTTTACATGCAGAGGTGAGCAAAAATCATATCCAAAGTTTAAAGTGGCAAAGGAGATAGAAACAAAATGACAAACTAAAGGCTGGGGCCAAGCTTTTATCTCTCTTTTACTTTTCTACTGTGAGTATGAGGTACATCCCACTCATTTACTATTTTTTTTGGAGGCAAGTTCTCAGGAACTTACTAAGTTACCCAGGCTGGATTTAAACTTGAGATCCTCCTGTACCAGGTTTCCAGAGTTTTGGGATTACAGGTGTTACCACCACATCTGCATAAATGTGGTTTTTGCACATGGTTTTGGTTAGTCTAGGTCCTTTGCAATTTTGTTTATTTGTTTGATGGTACCAAGGATTGAACTCAGGAATTTGCATTTGCCAGGCAAGTGCTTATTCTACTGAGCTATCTCCC